TACCAGGACAATGGGTTAAAAAAGAGGACTGTCCCGTATAATAGAGGACGGATGGTCACCGTAGGTATTCTAATAAACTGTCTGTATGCGCTTATATGATCTTCTGTGCCATAAATTTTTAAATGTACATACATACATACATACATATATGCTAACTCGAGCTGTGTGCATACAGTTCATATCATTAAATTTACATACATACATTCATACATAAATATTGTACACATGTCGACTAATTTCGCTGCTACCAGGCGGGCCTCCGTTCATACTGACATTGTTGTTATTGTTACTCGCCGCCCTCTATATTAAACACAGCCTGATAACATTTCTTCCACAAGTTTCTTTCGAATAACCACTGCTTAAAGCGCTAAGTAAACACGTTAAGTAGGGTGGTCCAAAATAAGTTAACTCGGAATTTTAACGCTCTCACCCCCTAGGATTGTTCTATACCGAAAAAGAATGTACCCCTATTTTTATTTTGAAATCAAAAATTATTTAGAGGTCATTCAAAGCTCTCAAAGCTTTCCATGTTCGTGGAAATAGTATGGCATTCTTGAAAATCAATATTTTTCGATCGAAAAACTTTGGTTCTCTTCAGCAGACTTCCAGTAACAATACACAATTAGTTTATTTAACCATTTTTTAATACTAAAATTTTTTTATTTATCCTTCATTGCATTTTATGGTATTTTCTAGGGGTTTTGGCGGGTTTATAAAATATAGTTACTATGAAAAAATGGTTAAATAAATAATTGTGTATTATTTATTATTCAGAATCTCCTGAAGAGTTTTCCGGTCGAAAAATATTNGTTTATTTAACCATTTTTTAATACTAAAATTTTTTTATTTATCCTTCATTGCATTTTATGGCATTTTCTAGGGGTTTTGGCGGGTCTATAAAATATAGTTACTATGAAAAAATGGTTAAATAAATAATTGTGCATTATTTATTATTCAGAATCTCCTGAAGAGTTTTCCGGTCGAAAAATATTGATTTTCAAGAGATCTATACCATTTCTACGAGAAGTTTTTTTTCACATATAAAATACATGGAAAACTTTGAGCGCCTTGATCGACTTTTAAATATCCCAACAAGCATTTCAGTAAATGTTTTTAAAAATAACTTAAAGTAAGTTTGCTACAATAAGCGTTAAATAAGCATTTTTAATATTAAGCTTATTAAAAGTTTTTTCAAATAAACCTTTAATAAGTTTTGAGAGCGAATGTTTATAAATAACTTAAACTTATAAATGAAATGTAAATGCCAACGACATGAAGTAGTAAATATAAAATTTTTTCAATCGTAAGTGACGTGTTTACGTTTTTTAAAATATATTATTAAAAGAAAAAATTAAATAAAACCGATGCGGTAAAAAAAATCCAATCCAGGACCCGCTGCGCTAATCGGTGGAGCATTCGAGTCTTCAAATGATGAGTTCCCCTTATCCTTTCTTAGTTTAACATTCAATTAAAAATGTATTAAATTTTTTTCAGAAAAGTTCATCAATGAGAATGGCGGCGATGAAGCGGAATATATAGCTCAATCGATGTCGTTTTTCCAATTTGCCAATAACCGCATGTAATTGAAAGCACGCAACAAGATGTAATAATTAACTTTTTTATGCTTAATTTTTATGTGTTATCGTGAATTTGTATGCTAAAATGTCTATTCCCTACTTATATTTTCGCGACTGTAGATGAGTCCGCCGAAAATTCGCATTTCGTTTAGTTTCTAGATGTTAAGCAATCTATGTATGAGTTTTTAATGAAATATCTTTAAATAAAGGGTTATAAAAATGTTTATAAAAAGCTTTCTTTTGAAAATTTTTAGTAAGTTTATATTCATACGCTTATAAACAACTTTTTTTTAACCTTTATTATAAGTTTACACTTTTACGCTTATAAAAAGCTTTCTTTTGAACATTTATTACAAGTTTATATTTCTACGCTTATAACCAATGTTCCTTTTCGATTATATTACGCTTACTTTCAAGCGTTTTATAAACAAAAAATCAACGTTTTGTAAGCTTAATGTTTATAATTAAAAATTAAAAAAAATCTTTCTTTAAGTTTATTTTGCTTGTTGGGTATTTTTTGATTTCAAAATAAAAAAATAGGGGTACATTCTTTTTCGGTATAGAACAATCCTAGGCGGTGAGAGCATAAAAATTGCGACTTTACTTTTTCACATGGATTTTCGGACCATCCTAAGGTACATACATACATATATGTATTTTTACTTATGCCAAAATAAAAAACAAACCCTACGTTTTTCTCCTCCGCTAAGCTCGACATGCGAGCGTTTTGCAACATTCTTCAATTTGTAGTACCGATCGCTTAGTTTTCGCTTGCGGTGCTACAATCAAATATTAGCAACCCAAATATTCTCATTCGTTCGCGGACAATCGAGCGTGATCGTCGTCTTTATTTCACTGCCTCCGTTTTTTTACTAACTAAATATAATCTTTTTTAGTCAAATAAATACGCGTAGACTATAATATTCTTTTTACTTATTTGGCATATTTTCTGTAGATAGTCAACGCATAACGCACCGAAATATGTCAACTTCCCAGCAACGCAATCTAGTCGCGGTCGCGGAGTCCAAGCGTTTCATGACCGACTGCTTCCTGGCAGTCAAGGTGCCCAAGGAACATGCTGAGGCTATGGCAGATCTGCTCGTAGCTGCCGATTATCGGGGACACTTCAGTCATGGCATGAATCGGCTGGAAATGTATATCAACGATTTGGCGATCAACTCAACAGATGGTGCTGCCACTCCAGCGATACTCAAGGAGACGCCAGCCACCGCTTGGGTGGATGGACGCAATGGCTTGGGCGTAGTTGTTGGCAATTTTTGCATGGATTTAGCGATAAAGAAAGCGAAAACGGTTGGTGTTGGTTGGGTATGTGCCAAAGGTTCGAACCACTATGGCATAGCGGGGTGGTATGTGCTGCGCGCACTGAAGCAAGGTTTGATAGGCATGACGACAACTAACACATCACCATTGATGGCGCCCACTCGTTCGAAGGAAGCAGCGCTAGGCACTAATCCACTGTCGTTCGGTGCACCCGCTAAGGATGACAAATTTTTATTAGATATGGCAACCACGTCGGTTGCGGTGGGTAAAATTGAAATACAACGTCGCAAAGGCGAACCACTGCCCGACGGTTGGGCGCAGGACCCAACTGGCCAGCAGACAAATGATGCTGAATTGGCATTCAGCACCGGCTGCTTAATGCCACTCGGCGGCCCTGAAATTTCATCTGGTTACAAGGGATATGGCCTAGGTGCTATGGTTGATATACTTTCTGGCGTCTCAGCAGGCGCCAACTACTCGACGAAGGTGCGAAAATGGACACACGCGGGTGCGAATACTGCCGCCGATTTGGGACAAGTCTTCATTGCTGTGGATCCTAATTGCTTTGCTCCGGGCTTCGAAGAACGCCTAACAGACTTTAATAGCCGACTTAGAGGCTGCAAACCGGTGAGTTTTGAACTTCTTTTCTCCATTGTAAAGTTTTGAAATACGCGAAGTGGTAGATATCGAGCCCTTACAGCC